CCCCAAAACCCCAAAACCCCAAAACCCCAATCAGGAGTATAATATATTCATAACAATATGAATAAAGGGAAAGGACAGTCTCTCTTGGTCCTAGCTATTGGGGTTATGGTAACCACAAGGGCTGTAGTGTACCATGATTTCAAGATTTTAAGTATGTATCTTTGATGCTTGCACTTTGATAATTCGCCAGTTTTGCAGTTTATTCACCTGGCTTATAGATTTCTTAATCCGATATGCAACAGACAGAGATTTGGTAAGATTTTTTGTGAAATAGAATTTATATTTTCTTTAGATATATGAATATAGTCTTGAAAATGAAATGACTAATATCTTCTCGTTTATGTGCACTATTCTACTCTACAAAATGGGTGATCCAAGACAAAACAAATATCGGCTATTTATCTTTAGTTTTCTAAGATGACTCCCATGCTTCTTTTATTTTTCATACTTTTTTGGACCAGAGCTTGAACTGTCTGAATTAAAGCTTCTCTTTGCTGAATTTGTGATCAGTTTTATGTTTATTATTTCTATTCCCCATAAGACATTGGCGAGACTCTATTCAAACATTATTTTCAGAAGTACTGTCATATTTACATTTGGCAATTTATTTGCTTCTGATTGTATATCTGTACTCAACAGCTCACTATCAACTTCTGGATTTCAATTACTCCCTCTGGCAATGCACATTACCTTCTTGGCAAACACTTTCATTGGACCTGATTTCTTAGAAAGCAGACTTTTTGGGTTCCCAATGGATATGCGTGATGTCAAAGCATGCTATAGTGCTTTCTATGGAAGTTGTGTTATCGTTCTTGGTTTGGATTACTTTATGTCCCCGAATGGAGTATTGGGGCAATGGACCCCAACAAGACTTCCGGGCTTGATCGAAGATCCATTAGGGTTTTACAAATGACTAGGTGTTTATTATGCATTTGGAGGTTATATGATTGTAACAATTGGTTCTTATCCATAAAGCCAAGAATTGAGTCCTGTTTGATTTTCAATTTTATTCCAAAACTAAGGGGTTTTGGGGTTTTGGGGTTTTGGGGTTTTGGGG